TATCTATCTATCTATCTATCTATATTAGAGGATTTACGGTAATTGCTGTGTCTTCCACTCACTTTGATCAGTGTTCAGAGCAACACTTCTCTCTGCATTATCTCTTCAATAAAACCTGTTAAAACTTTTCCTAGTCTCCCTCTTTGATCTTCTGCATTTGGGTCTGAACTTTAGTAAAATCATGACAATCTGCCCTTAAAAAGGATCAAAACAGCTTAGCCAGAAATTAATAACACAATCAAAATGTTTAAGAAAAACAGAGATTTGATTACTTCTGTTTGTTAATATTAGCTGTAGGATCTGTTGATGATAGGTGAGATGTCACCTAAGAAAAAAATCAAAGCAGGAACAACAGTTTGTAAATATGCTTCACACTTTTCGTCTTTCGTTATTTTTCTTCAGTTTATATAATTTCTCAAAAACATGCACACATCAATAGCCTAACTCTATGAAAACCTCAAAATCAGAAATACACTTTAATACTGAGTTTATTCTTCAGGGAATGAAAGCAGGGAAAAGAAACTGATCCATTTAAAAACATGTTATTTCTCTATCTAAGCAAACAAACAGGAAAACAAACTCAATGCAGAAAGACCCGTGGCTAGAAACTGTGATACCATGAAGACCATTAATTATATTTGTTCAGATTTGTAACTTTTGGCCCTCCATAATACATATGGAGGCCCTTTTTGGCCCTAGAAGTAAGTTTTTTTTCCCCTGGGTTTATATATTTCATGTTGACGTGCTCCCTTGACTGCTTAAGGCCTTTGGATCCCTAATAAAGATTTCCGCTGATAAACATAAGGTTTACGCTTATGATTGTATGCACGACACATCCAAAGAGACCTTTGCAAAAACATGTTTACAATGCAAGGAATCATTTATATAAGTATCAATAAACATTAGAGTTGAACATTTTATAACGGGTATTAAAATATAATGATTAAAATCTAAATGTTGTAAATATATTCAAACCCATATTAACTAAAGGTAATAAAGTCTGTTTCTGTACCTTATGTTACCTTAACTACTTCAGAAATATAATAAGTTAGTGGGTTATAAAGTTTGACATTTTTTATTTTTAAAACCATTTAATTATTTAATTATTTTTTTTATTTTAATTAAGTATATATATATATATATATATATATAAAACTTTCACAGCCATGTAATAGTAATGTAATATAATTAAAGTTGTCCGCTTTAAAAGACACACAGTATTTTGATAATTAATGACACTGCAAATAAACCAGGAAATATTCGATTTAACTACTCTTGGCATATCTACGCAGGCATTTAATATTTTATTAGAATTATGGCTGCCAATACAGAGTATAACATTTTATCAGGTTAATGATTTATCAAAATTGATGTTTTTTCACTCTTTAAAATGAAGTTATTTATGTGCTGCTGAGTTTCTTCCCTTTGGCCATTTAACTCTAAATCTGTGCAGAAATATGACGGATTGAGGATATATTAATGGACGACAGTCAGCAGAGAGAAGAAAGACATCTTTTTAGTTTATAAATTTTTCTATTTCGTTTTTTTTTTTTCTCATGATAGTGGCAGTTTTTACAGTAGTTGTCTGTTTGCTTATGTTGAAAGCATGAAGACAGACATTTGCGTTAATTGAATTATGAATTATTTATGTTTTTTGAAGGAATAAAAATACTCCTAAGAAATGTCTTTTGTACTTTTTGAAAACTTCTAAAGTCTAGCAGGAGACTAAGTTTCCAGAGGGCTGAAGATCATGGAGAAGAATATTGAGGCGCTTTACTGGTTAAACAAGGCCTTCTGAAAGGATAAATAACCCATTTCAAAGGTCGGTTGGCCTATCAGCAATATGATATGTCATTTGTTGCAAAAACTCATCCGTACCCTGACAGAGTAAAGTATGCTCTCTGTGTAGCATCGATCATCTTATCTTGATATGCTCTAATGGTCGTTACATTTATGGTCCCAGTTTGTGACAGGTTGGTTCAACTTTTGCTCTCTCTCTCTCTCTTCCACAGTGTATAAAAGGCCGCAGCTCTCGGTCACTCTTTGGATACCTGATCTGGCCCCCAGGTGAGTCGACGAGAAGCAAAACTCTTTTAATTTTCAGCTCAGATTGTCGAACTGTAACTTATTTAAAATCTCTGCTTTCTGTTTAGCTTATTGCCATCTCAACAAGTTGTTAAATCTACAGAAAACATGGCAAAGCTCATATTGCTAACAGGTAGTGCTGAATTAACAGTTTAACTGTCATTCTGAGATACATTAGTTTATATTGTTGTATGATTGATTTAATTTGTCTCCCTGCTCTATTTTTTTTCCTAAGCCGTGTGTTTGGTGTTATTCCAGCTAGGTGAGCCACAAAGTAGTTTTATCCACCAACATAATTTATATTCATAATTTTGCAGAAAATGTGACTTTATTGTTGAATTTTCTATTGCTCCTTTGCAGCACACACCAACAGAATGGAATGCTATTTCACTAACTGGTCTCAGTACAGGCCTGGCGATGGCAAATTCCTGCCACAAAATGTAGACCCCTTCCTGTGTACCTCTCTTATCTATGCCTTTTCCATCATCAATCATGCCAATGAGCTGGTTACCTATGAATGGAATGATGATGTTCTCTACAAGGCCTTCAATGACCTGAAGACAAAGTAAGTCACCATTGTAATGAACCTCCAGTCAGACATTAGAATAAACTACCAAGTACATATGAGAATGAAATATTAATGCATTCCCTGGAGGATCACTAACATTTTCTTAAAATATTCTGCTTTTTCCAGGAATCCCCATTTAAAGACTCTGCTGGCTGTTGGTGGCTGGAACTTTGGCTCAACTCAGTAAGTCATCATTTAAATTAAAGCCTTATCTAGAAGGACTTTCTTGCAAGAGATACATCAACATTATCTTCTAAACTCTTCATATTCTAAATCACTTTGGACAACTTAGCCTAAGT